TGTCAAAAACGCGCCAAGAAAAAAAAAACGATCAATGGGGCCGTGCGACCATACCCCCGCGAAACTGAATGCAAGTTTTCCCGCACCGCGCTGACGCCCCCAGACACCCAAATTTCAATGAACATACCCAAACACGCGATTTCAAATTTTCCGACGGCGTCCGCGCACCGCGCCGCGCGCGCAACTGAACATTGGAATTGGGGCGAGGGGGGGCGGCAAAACTTGCGTTAAGTTTCGCGGGGGGTATTACAACTGTCAATACTATTACTATCCCTCGTATTCCCACCACTGTTATTACTATAACTACCCCTTGCATGATTACTACGATTACTGCGCCAAATACAACTAGTATTGTTATTATTGTGACTATCGCTATTACTTTGACTACTGTAGTACGATTGGCTTCACGACCACTCATATTATCAGAATGTGCGTTCATATCCGCCGTTGCATTCCGATTCGTATGGTCTCCAATATGATGGTCTCCCGCCCGGTCCCCCGTTTACTATCCTGCGTGGTCTCCCGTATGGTCTCCCGCATGGTCCCCGGTATGGTTTCCCGTATGGCCTACAGTATGCCTTCCTGCATGGTCTTCGGCACACGCAGCACAATATAATTTTAGAAGTTCCTCAAACAATGCTTGGACTTAGGGTGTCTTACGTCTGTCTCAAAATTTTGGCCTGGGCTCCAGTCTGACGGCTATGTGGTCGCCGTCGCCGCCCCGTCGCCACCTCGTCGCCGCACGCCGTCTGGGCCTGCGCGCTGGTCTGGCGAATGTGTGGTCGCCGTTGCCGCCCCGTCGTCGCCTCCTTGATTGCACCGCGTGGATTGCACCACGTGGATCCATTCTCCTTTCTAAAAAAAAGAATATCCCCCCCCCGGCGTTATCGCCCCCCCTTTTCGGGTATGTAAATCACATATGACTCTGACCGCATGTCCATCCAAACTATGAAATCACAATGTCCCAGGCCAACCGGGTTCCCCCCCTGAGGTTCCCTTGTAAAAAACACAATGCGGTGTGGTTCTAACATAACACTTTGTTTTCGAACCCCTTGCAACAATGGGACGAAGTGCACACGCGCGCGTTGTCGCGCGCGCGTGCCAACATCCTTCAAAAACCTTTGGTGCTGGAAGGATTTCGCAATCGAGTTTTTAAGAAATACAAAAACACAGGGTTTCGTAGCACTGATTTACTAAAGAAGCTTACGCGCGAGCTCTTGCGAAATCTTAAGAAAACCATTGGTTTTTCAAGATTTTCACAACATGCTACCAAACGGGCGTCGCGCGCGCATGTCGAAATCTGTCGAATGCCCTTGCGCGTGTGCCGTCGCGAGAATCCTCTGCCAAAAATGGGACGAAATGCAGACGCGCGCGTCGTCGCGCGCGTACGCCGGAATCCTTCAAAACCCATCGGTTTCGGAAGGATTTCACAATCGCGCGTCCAAAAAACCTATCAAAAAACAAGGTTTCGCAACACGGATTTTCAACAAAAGCGTGCGCGCGCGCTCTTGCGGCGTCGTCGTCGTCGTCGTCGTCGTCGTCGCCGTCCTCCCTCCTCCCGCGTCGTCGTCGTCGTCGCCTACGTCGTCCTGTGTCTTTCCTCGTGTTCGTCGTCGTCGTCCTCTTTGGCGTCGTGGTCGTTTCCGTCGTCGTTGTCGCCGTGGTCGTCCTTCCTCCTCCTCCCTCGTCGTCGTCGTCGTCGTCCGTCGTCGGCGTCTCGTCGTCGTCCCTCCTATTTCGTCGCCGTCGTCGTCGTCGTTGTCGTCGTCGTCTCGTCGTCGTCTTCCCTCCTCCCTCGTCGTTGTCGTCGTCGGCGTCGCCGTCCTTCCTCCTTCTTCGTCGTTCGCGTCGTCGCCGTCCTCCCTCCTCCCTCGTTGTCGTCGTTGTCGTCGTTGTCGTCGTTGTCGCCGTCGTCGTCCTCCCTCCTCGCTCGTCGTCGTCCTCGTTGGCGACGTCGTCGTCGTCTTCGTCGTCGTCGGCGTCGTCGTCGTCGCCTTCGTCGTCGTCGACGTCGGCGTCGTCGTCGTCGCCGCCGTCGTCGTCGTCGTCGTCGGCCGTCTTGCTTCTCTGGCCTTCTTGGGGCGCTCTTGAGACGCCCCCGAGGGCTCCAAGACGACCCTGGAGCGATATCTGTGCTCGGGCCCGCATGGGTTTTGCAAACCAAGTTGCGGGTGGGTGGGTGGGATGATTGCGCGAGCAGTGGAGTTGACAACTTCAAGTTCGGCAAGTGAATTGCACCACATAGGTTGCACCACACGGATTGCACCACATAGATTGCACCATGTCGCGTGCACCACTGGATTGCACAACATGGTCTGCTCGAAAACAATATGTGGTGCCCACTCTGGCTAACATACTTGTAATATGCCGTTTAGGTTCTTCTGCTGCGAGGGTTAACTTAGCTTGGCCAACGAAAAACCGCACTCCGCGGGACCTGGAAGGAGCTCACGAAAGTGGAGACAGTTGCACAGTTGGACCACCCAAAGATCTCCCAGGGGCACATGGACGTGGCGACGTTCGCGCAATTAGCAGCACCATGCATTTCTCTGAGCTCGGCTCGACCGTAGACAAGACAGACATCAATTCGCAACGAGCACCCGACTGCATCGATGATGCAATATTGCAGCAAGAGCGACGAGCCAAGCAAGACATTGCAAACGCAACTGCATAAGGTGCGCTCGGACACCATCACTGCCCGAGGGAAGCCCTCAGAGATCAGACGTCGGTTTGACAACTGCTCTGAAGCTCGATACATGGGCCTGCTGCACAACGAAAGCTCGGAACCCTCATCGGGCGAGCTCGACGAGTCTGACGGGACGGACGGGTCGATCGACGAAGGCAGCTGTAGCGTTTGCGACGAATTTGGACGGGCACCTGCTGATGGAACTTCGACGCAACGAGAGAATTGAGGACATTGTTGGGGCCCTGTGTAACTATTCCACTCGAGGCGAAGGGCGATCCTTCCAGAACACATGCGCGACTAGTGCTCGACATGATGTTAGCAACTGCTCTTTGATGCCAATGCCTAGAATGTTGCTGTCCCCCTCAAAGAATTAACCGTACCATTTGAGCAGAGGCCTTCCTATCCGCCCGCGGGCTTGATAGTTTGGGCAGGCGGCCCAGTATGTATCATACTCCGTACTTGTCACTTCTTGGCAAAAGAACCGAGGTCATGCCAACAGGGTATGTGCACACACGTCAAGATGTTTGCCTTGGCGACACCTTTCGTGTTGAAATTGGGTGGATGTTGGTAGTCGACTGCGCGCCGCTTGTGGCAATTGTTCGGATTCTGCCCCAGCTACAGCAGATTATCGATCAACACGATCAGCAACGATACCCCACAAAAGAAAGTTGGAGGCAAGAGGTGAGGAAGAAAAAGCAGCAGTGCGAGCACATGGTCTCGCGACCGATCTTGTGTCAGCACGGACATCTTGTGTCAGCCCTTGGCGCACGAAGCTCCCAAGAGGCGCCGCCACCGAGGAGGTCCAGCGCCGACCCAACAAGTGCGCGCGGACTCCGAAAGCGTATGATGCTCATCGTTGTGGGCTGAACGGCCCACGCTGCGTAAGAACCCAAGATTTTCGAGCAGCGGTAATGGTGCACAGTACGACAATGGCGCTACCACGAGGGAAGCCGAAGAAGGAACGGAGGCGGTCATCTGACCACAGCGAGCCTCGGCCACGAACAGGTTCCCCGACATCAGATCGAAAGAACGGCCCGAACACCAGGGAGCACCTCGTCAACCCACATGCTTCTTACTTCGGCGTCCTGGCTGTGATGTAGCACAAGTCCTGAGGATCATCGATCCTCATCCAGCTTCCTCCTCTGAACTGACACCGTGATTTGTCACAGCGTGAAACCCCCCTAGAGGTCTGGTCCTTCTCACTGGAACCAGCATGTCTGTAAACGCCCGAAATGGGTGAGGAAAACCTGGGTACGATTCCCAACAAATTTCGACGCCCGAAATGTGTACTGAAAAAATTGGCACAATGCCCAACAACAAATGTTGTCCAAAATCGACAGCGGCCGCTGTTGGGCAGGCAGCTTTATGTCTTCAAAAACAATGTCCGCGGCGGCGCGGACAGCGAGTCCTGCTCAAATGAGCAGAACCTGCTGTTGGGCATCGTACCAACTCTTTCCGTACCAAGCTCGATCGTCCCACACAAAGTTTGTCCTGATCTGGCAGCGGCCGTTGTTGAGCAGGCGACCTTGTGCCTCAAATGAGCAACTTCCGCGGCGACAACAACAGCGATTCCTGTGCACAAGGACGGTGACTGCGCTCGACGTTCGTCCTCACTCTTTCCGCACCCACCTCGATCGCACCGAGTTTCATCCTCAGCTTTGACTGTCCTGGGGCCCATCAAGGGCCCCAGGAGGCCGAAAAAAGTACCACGTAACCCCCGTCGTGATTGTATTCATAAGGTCGGCGTCTCAAAAATAGCGTGCGACACCGACCTCCGAACAACACGCTACCCCCAAATATGAGGGTTTCCACCGTGCACGCTATCCCTGTGAGGCGTTCCTTCAGCAGGGGTCCTTTCTTGCACGCTATCGCTTTGCCAGGACTTCTACGGTGCAGGCTGTCCCCTAGGCGGGGGATAACGTGAAATAAGCGGGCCGCTGGCGCCACAACGCACGCTATCTCTACAACGCCAACCGTAACGGTAGTTTCCATCCGCGCTGCTGGCGCCGACAGCTCCCCGCAGCCTGTACCCAGAGGAGGGCGAGCTGAGACAACGGCAGCTCGAAACCGGTCCCCACGTTCCTCTTGGGGCTCACGAGTGGCGAACGCGTTCATATCCAAGCCCTCGCGATCTGGATTCCAGGGCGCAATCCCGCGGATACGCGGTCGCCGGACATCTTCCGCGCGGGACATGCGCGATAAAACGCCCCGTATCCGCGGGGACGCGGCTGGGTCGTGCACGCCCTGCCCTGCGACGACGACGACGACGACGACGACGACAACGACGATGACGACGGCGTTCCCTCCCCCGCCCCGCCTTCTCCTCGGTCGCGCACGCCCTGCCCTGCGGCCTCTCGCTCCCCGCCGCAGCCGCGCCGCCACCCGCCGCCCGCACCCACACGGAGGTCGCGATCCCGGCCCGCGACCTCCGGCGGCGGCCGCCGGCGGCCCTCGACGGCCGCGGCGGCAGTCGGCGGCAGCCGGCGACGGCGGACGACGGCAGAGTCGACGGCGGCAGCCGACGGCGGCGGTCTGCGGCCGGCGGCGGCATCTGGGCGCGGCGGCGCGGCGGCGGCGGCAGAAACAGTCGGCGTCGAGACGGCAACCCGAGCCGAATCGGGGTGTGCGTCGGATCGTGCCGAATGACGGCGCGCAGCCGGGATCGAATCGGATCGGCCGCGCCCGGACGCACAGCAGCGCCTACATACGCGAGCCGCGCTGGGTCGTCAAAAATCTCGGGGACGGATCGGGTCGAGCTGGCCGAAGCCGCCTCGAAACGGGCCGATCGTCTCGGAGTGTGCTCTGCACGGCGGCGAATCAGCGAGGGCGGCCGTCGGCATTTTAGAGGAAAACTAAAAAAAAAATATCTAAAAATAACAAAAAATGGTAGAAAAATGCTCCAAAAATCGTTCCCTGACTATTTGTTATATTTTTGAGGATTCCTCCTGTAGAGGGACAGGCCCGACTTAACGCTAATCCACGCGTTTCCATCATTGTTTGCGTTTCCTCGGAGCTGGCGGTTCCCGAGGGAAGCGGGTCCTGGACCCTGGGGCCGTCCCCCAAGGTCAGCTTTTCGTCCGGAACCGTTTCCAGACAGTCCCGGGTCCGCGGAGGGCACAGGGAGGACACAGCACGGCGGAAAAGCGCAGGACCCGCTTCCCCCCGCTCTCCTCCTCCTCCTCCTCCTCCTCCTCCTCCTCCTCCTCCTCCTCCTCCTCCAGCTCATCATCATCATCATCATCA